AAGAGAGAGAGAGAAGAGTTATGGCAAAGTATATTATGCTTTACAAGTTCTCCATCCTTACATCTCTCTCTCGCTTCATTATAGTTTTTTCATTAGCAAAGAATCATCAGTTCAGTTTTCGTCGCTGAGCTGCATGACTTCCCGAAAATCTCCCTTTTTGATTTTTCAAAGTATGAAAGCGAATTTGAAGCTAGACTGAGGCAACTTTTGCCAATGATAGTTAAACTGCAGCGGATTTCATTTCATCTCATTTCAGAAAATAGTGTTTAACCATTGGAATACGTCTCGTTGGTAACGCTGCTTTATATTCTTTATATGAATGCATTTGCAACAACGAAGCATCAGAGTTTCCATGTCCTTCGTTTTCAGAAAATCTATTGGGTTTTCAAGAAATAATATTTACTCGGCTTTGCGAGAGTGGGTGAGAAGATCTGCGCTGCGATTCTCACAAAGTCCGTTGGCATCCTTTAATGTTCTTATCGTAATTGAGAGTGCCCGTATACTGACTCACCCACATTCAAGAGCCTAACAAGCAGTTTAATGCTATAATGGATATGGACAAGGACCTTTTTCAATTATCCTTGAAAACTTGCCATAATCTTTTCAAAAAGAAAATCATAAGTTTTTAATTTGTTCTGCAGGGATTCTCAGAAAGTTCCTGCCAAACGAAGGTATAATGGTATATGTTAGGTCTCAGTCAAAAAAGTAATACTTCCTTCTTCTCATGTATATTTTCGCAAAGAAAGAGAGAGAAAGAGGGAGAGAGAGAGAGAAAGAGGAAGAGAGAGAGAGAGAAAGAGAAAGAGAGAGAGAGATAAGCCTACCTTTTGTTCCTGAGTAAAGGAAAGAAGAGCATTTTCAACGTCTACGTACTAAAGAGCAGCTCAACTTCACAAGAGTCAACGTCTAATTAACCGAAACCTAAATATATGCTGAACTTTGAGGTTTGTCACAAAAAATTGTTTTCTTGGGAAATTTATTTAAGTCGACACTTCTATTTGTTTGGAACAAAAAAGCTTGATTTAACGAAAACGATCTCTCACAGAATTTTTATTTTAAATACGATTCGACTGCTAATATAAATGAAACAGTCAAACTTCTCATTACACACATCAATGATCCCATACATGACTTGCCTTCTTGCCACATCCGGAAGCTCCATTTGTAAAAACGCGCAGGTGATGAGAAATTTGACAGCTACGCTATAAAAGAGAGCTAATTACTTGTATCTTTCACACTGCAGTTCCCCTGACTTCGCGAGAGTGCTTCAGGAGAGCAATTATTTGAAATAATGTAGAATTTTATGATTACTTTGTTTTTGTCTTAATCGTGTAAAGTTAAAGAACATAAAAAATAGCATTATGTTGCCTTAATTTAGATATTATCTGGCATATTCAGTTTATAAAATTTAAAAAAAACCTTTGCATTAGAGTATCTTTGTGTTTAGTTTTATTTGTAATTAACTTGATTTAATCTTTTCGCTTTGTTTGTTAGTAAAACTATCTGCAATTTTTGTACATTGAATTGTTAATTTACTCGTCAAGTTTTCTACCAGTAACCAGCCATTAATGGCTTTCATAGTCGATTCCTGGAATAAACAAGTACAATTGCGGGCGAAGGAGTGGCGTTTGAAGACGCCTCTCTCGCCTGAGTTGCGTGCACGGTAAATTTGGAATCTGTTGTTATCGCAGATTAGCATGTGCGTGTAATTAGAGGCGCTAACACGTCGTCTTTTAGTCCACAAGCGTTTTTGCTGTCATTTATTGAAAACGACTATAACACAACCTTATCTGTATCTTGGCTATTGCGCAATCCGAGATTCGGCTGAAGACGTCAGTTCTTGCAACAGGTAAAACTTGACTTCTTGTTATTCTCTGCATTAATTATAGACTGAACATTAGTGCAGATAGACAAAATGATTTGAAAATAATGATCGGTAATCAGTTAGAGAGGAGTTATGAAATAATGCTTCTTTCGGTGGTAACCGGAGTAAT